GAGGAGGAGGAAGAGGAGGAGGAGGAGGAGGAGGAGGAGGAGGAGAAAGAAGAAGACGACGACGACGAAGAAAAGGGGGAATTACTTCCAATTATGCAAATAGCTGACGTTACTCTCCTCCTCGTCCTTCTCCCCTTCTGCCCTGCTATGGCCAATTCACGCCTCTCCTCTCGCGCCCGCGGGCCGGCCGAAAGTATAAATTGCACATACACTTGTGCGCGAAGCACGCTGAAGCGCTCGTTGTACTCTTGACGCGGGCGCGCGCGCCGAGCAGAGTTACACGCGCGTAATGTACGTGTAATACACGGGACCGCGCTAAAGTACCCACTCGGTCGACGAGTGTACGTTGTACAAGCCGTACGCGCTTCACATGTGTACACGCTCGGCCGGCGAAACATTGTACGTCATTTTTACGGAGCGCGTCGAACGACGACGACGACGACGACGACGACGACGACGAACGAGCATTGCGCGACCTCGCTTCGTTGACTCTTGGAGGATCGGAAAGGTGTCGTCGCGACTAACCCCACCGGATCGCCCCTCTGTCTGTTCTCGTAAACGCGAACGAGACATTTTCGCGATGGTCAGAATGTCGATAATGCGCAATTACATCCAACGATGATCGACGTTGAAGATCTCTCTTCGAGTCTCGCGGTCGCGATTTCAATGTCGACGACTTGACATCGCGTCGCGCGGGTCTTGAATAATTTTTTTTCTATGAACTGCTTCCCACGAACTGCTTCACGAAACATCGACTCGGACAGCCGTCCGCGCCGTCGAGATAAGAGCTCTCGCGTTCGCGATTTCGTTGAGATTCCCGGCGTTTCGAGACTCCCGAGTTCAAATAAACGGTGCAATAACGTAATAAAAAGATAAAGGAGAAAAAAGGACAAACAAAGAAACGGCGTTACTCACATGTCTCTCCTCCGTCGAGCTCATACCTGAAAGCAAACAACAAACGTCGCGGTGTAATACAAAAACGCTCGTTGCAAAAGCGGAGCCAGAGTGGCGTTCGAGTACCGAGATCGCTTCTTTATCTTTATACGAGTGCCATAATAGCGAGAAGCACCGGCGATCTGGTGTATTATACAGATGTCTGCGACGAGATAAGCGGTAAGATTGAGCAATCCGCCTTTGGTGACTCTATTTGCGAGCCGCCCGCTCCCCTCAGCAATACCGGTCGCGTCTCTCCACTTTCGTAGGAAACTTATTCAAACACGAATGCGTGTTCCGCGCCCGCACGAGCGCACTCGCCTGTCCAAGTTGTAGTAGTAAGACACAGAGGAGTCGCGTACAAGTAGGAAAATAATATCAGACGCGCGCGATCGAACGCCGAGTATCACGTATCGATAAAATGTTAATAACGCGCCGTAAAACGACAGCCGACAGCGGCTACCGAAACGAGTAGAGGAGGATGGAGCATCGGGAAGCAGAGGAGAACGCGGAGGCGGTGGAGAGAGAGGGAGGGGAAGGCCCGCTAGTGGCGTCCATATAAATGATCTTCATGCATATTTATGCGTGCTTTTCGCTCAAAACCGCCGCTAGCGCGTCCGCTAACAGGGTGACGCAAACATGCGCATTCTCTCTCTCACCCTCTCTGTCTTTCTCTATCCATCTCTCTCCGAGAGCGGATACCCGTAATAAAGCGCTTTGAACATTTTCCGGCGGAGGCGAGAGACAGGGTCGTCGAGAGAGAGTTGCTCGCATATATATGTATACATATATATATATATATATATATATATACGTGTATGTGTAGATATTTCTTTTACACCCTCACGTCCCGATCTCTGCTAACTCTGTGACGGTCGGTAGGCTAGGTGGCTCGCTCTCGCGCGGCAGCGATTCGTTATACCGGAGTATAACGTTAAATCGAACGTGACCGGAGGTCGGAATTTCGCCCTTCGTTAGTTCCCCTCTTTTCTCGCCCGTTGCCGCCGTCGCCGTCGCCGCCGCCGCCGCCGCCGCCGCCGCCGCCGGGTCGAGGATAGGGCTGGCGAACGAGTCGAGATCGAACTAATGTTCAGTTGGCCACCTCGTCCATTCGGACGCAGCAAAAAGTAACACGGAGAACCGTTCCCGGAAACGGAGAAAAAAGTCGAAAATAGCGAAACGTATCGACGATCGACGTAAGAATAATTGTGAAAAGGAGCGACACAATGGCGAAACGACCGGGCGAACTGGGATTGCTGAAAGGAACGCGCAGCGCGTGGCGGTGCTCGGGACACCCTGTGTGTAACAATGCGATCGCAATGCGGCTGCGTAGCGATCCTGTAGACGTGTATACATCGGTACACCGACGACTTACCTCCACTGCTCTTGAGATCGTCCGGCTGACCGCGGTGGATATCCGGCTTGCCAAGCATCGAGAGGGAATGCGCGGCGGTGACCGTGCCCGGAGTCGCGGTTGAGACGGGCGTCAGTCCGAGACCGAGTAAAGCCGCGGACGCGGAAGTCACTACCGGAAGCCCGGCAGCCGGCCCCAATCCTGGAAGTCCAGGTAAACCCGGATGAGCCATCGCCGCGCCCGGCGGCAATTGCCGCGCGTGCATTTGCTGCAGCAGTTGCGGTATCTCCGGCCTCTGCTGCTGCAACGATTTAGATTGGCGTTCGTCAATCGAAGGCTATTGCTCGGCTGTGTGTTCACGGTCTCTCTTCGACGCCGCACACGTCCGGTAGTACACGAGTGTGCTCCGCGTAGAGACGGAGAAAATATCGTAGTCAAATTTACGTTCAAATTGCACTCCTCTTTTTACAGTGTCTCTCGATGTTACTGTAGAGCCGGTAAATTTGACGAACTAGCTGATATATGATATAAAAAACGTTCAAATGATTACGATAATTTTGTAAAATGATCAAACGTGTATGACACTTTTAACCCGTCTTCGGAAAGGTGGGATCTGAGAGACTCCACTCCTTCTATTTTGTTCTCTTTAAATCTTTACAATATCTTCGGAATTTCTTCGTTAGCTTGTTATTAAATCTCAATATTACATAATATCATAAGATATAGGAAGGTTTGAGGAATTATAAAAATTATAAGCCAAAAAAGAAGAAGAAAGAGATTCACCAGATTCCATCTTTCCAATGACGGGTTAATATATGCAGCAATTTCGATCATAATTCTGTATGGTCCGAAATCACCAGCATTCTGTTGCAATTTTCACTACAATGTTTTCTCCGTGCACCGGTGAAGATATACGATGGTATACATACTGAGAGAAAAAAAATAGTAAATATTTCTACAATTACAGTTAATTTCAGCGCCAATTATACTTTTTTTGTTGATCTATTAGAGAAGTAGTAGTAGCAACATGCATACAAGATCATTATCACTAACGCTGCAGCAACACACTGCAAAAGAGCTTTTTTTACTGTGGATCTTTCACCGTGCAATTATAGTTACAAATATCAAACTATTCTCTTTTCTCAGTACAGAAGCCAGCCTCGAAATGATAATTGTGTGTTCAATTAAAAAAAAAAAGAAAAGGAATGATTTAGGTTTAAAGTTGTCTGAGCGCAGAGCTAATGTTAGTAATCGTCTTGATAGCGACGCTTGATAATGTGTCGATGAGAGATAGATGAAATTGATGCTCGGACACGGTTGCCCCAAAATATCGGTCGCAAGTCGGCAGGGTGACATCGATAAACGCGGTGGCCCATGAAGAAGCACCTTAAACTCCTCGCGAGATCGCAAAGTATCGTCGCGACGCGACGCGACGCAAAGTGCCGCGCGAGATGCGTGTCGCGAAACGAAACACGTAACGGTCCCAAGAGCGAGATTTAACGCGCCGTGAATAATACGCGCAACCGGATGGCGGCGACGTGTATCGGTGGGAAATGGAGGGAAGACACAGAGAGAGAGAGAGAGAGAGAGAGAGAGAGAGAGAGAGAGAGAGAGAGAGATGAGGGGGAGAGAGAGGAAGAAGGATCGCGGATCCCCGTCATCACCATCGCGTTTCACCAACCGAGGTAGCGCGCGAGACTGAGCGAGAGGGAGAAGAGGTAACGGGGTGAAGAGAGAGAGAGAGAGAGAGAGAGAGAACTCTGTACGTTCCTCGCGCGCGGTGTTATTAAACGAAATATTGATTCAACCTCTGTTTACCGAATAATACATATTCATGAGGGTTAGCGCTTCTGTCTATTTGCCTTCATCGTCCCTTCATCGTCCCCTCGCGCGTTCTCCTCTCCCCAGCGTCCTGCGCGCGTTTTGCGCCGCGCAACCCCGTTGGTACTTTCGTCGCGCGAACCCCTTTGCCGCCACCGTTACGAGCAGCCCTTTCTCTCTCTCTCTCACGTGCAGACTAATTGTATTCCGCGTAACAGCGACGCGCGTCATCGTAATGACGAGCTGTCGAGATTGCGGCCTGCCAACCGCGACCTTGTCCGAGTGATCGTACCCTTGCTGTGCTTTCGTGAGATACGCTTCCTTGAACGAGCGAGTATCCGTCGAATTATGGCCGAAAATTGAAAGATGCAAAACGGTACTATTACGAGTAGCTCGTTCGCTTTCTTTGACTCAGTATTTTCAATTTGCACAGATGGATTTGGAAAAATAAATGGAGCAAGTCAAACCAAACATCACAAAGCTCTGATTCCGTCTGCACCGATTATTCCCGAATTATTCTCCAAGTGAGAATTCGCCTGTGAATTCATTTACTCGCTCGTTCGCGCGTCGTCGGTCCGTTGAAAAACGCCTATTGTTCTTTATTTTTCAGGGCGATGCGTTTGTTTCGACGGCGACAGCCTGAGAGCAAATTATTCGGGTCATGCGCGCGAGAATCAACTCGGAACTCAATTATACGCGACGCGTCCGCCGAATGCGAATCCTTCGTCGGCGTGCGTAGCAGCAGCAGCAGCAGCAGCAGCAGCAACACCGCGTTGATCGCCGCGAGCACGTTCGCCGCGGCCGCGAAAAACGACGAAGAGCAACATCGTGTGCAGCCGGGTGCTGCCGTCGCTTCGCGTCACATCGCGTCGGCGAGGAAAACCATCGCCGGAGGTATAACGATCGAGATCGAGAGTGCGTCGCTCGCGCGCCGGACTAATTTTCAGATATAATGCGGCGCTCGTCGCGGCGAATCTATCCGCGTATAGCGCCGCACGTGTTACAATACCACACGCCGTGTTCTCGTACACTTACCGCTATTACGGAGTTTAAATCCGCCACCGACACCTGCTTCGCTCTCTCTATGGCGTTGATGATTTGCTGTTGATGATCGTGCGGCAGAAACGGCAGAATTTGCCCGATAATAACGTTCAGTCTCTTTGATATCTCACTCTGCAACAAAACGAAACGCGCCTTTGATCGTCAGTTGTTTAGAGCTCTGATTTAAGGCGGTATGACTCTTTCGCGCCTTATCCTGTAATTTCGAGAATTGAAAACGTCAGACACATCACCCTTGCGACATAGAGAAAGGCTAACGTTATTTACTTTTTTTTTTTAGGAAAGAAAAGTTGGCGCGAGAGGGTCAACCTTGCGACTCGGTTCACATCTGTTTTACTGTCTCGCAGAATTGTTGCAAAGATCTCATTATTAACAAACGTCAGAGTTGCGATCAACAATGTGGGACGTCACTGTGACGCAATGTGGGTCCAATGATTTATGAAAATTCTCACTTGTTTTCAAGTTAAACTCGCGCTTCACACACACACACACACACACATAACTGATAAAAATGCCAAGGACTTGATATAAAGTCCTTGGAGAATATCTTGAAATCAAGTGTTCCTCTGACCGCTCGTGATGTTTCATTTAACCGATAGCAAACGGATCGGAATCCTCGGGGGGAACGAGAAGAGGACGGAAGGAGCGTCAGCGCGTGGACGTCGCACGTGTTTAACAGTAATAGTCGAGGTCCGGCCTGGACCACGAGAGAGCGTATATCCCACGGCTGTACAACATCCTTGAGCGGGGAGAAGCGCGTCTCTCGGGTGAGTAATGATGAAAGCGCGAGTCGGACGGCCGACCTCGTCGCCTCGCGTCGTCTTTAAACGCGCGAGTAATGAGCGAGGCTGGCTACATATTTCCGTCGCGATCTCCTGTCAACAGGGCGTTCCTCTATTTTCGTCGCGTCCGTCCGTCCGTCCGTCCGTCGGTCTCACACGTGGATACTAGTCTCGCTGTGTGTTTGAGCGAGCGAATAAATAAGCGGCTGAATGCGTAGGTGCGCGCGTTCCGAGAATAAAGCGAGCGGCATAAGACGCGCGAATAATGAGATGTGAGAGAGGACGAAGAGAGAAGGGGTACGAACCTTTCTCCGTCGTGACGCGATTTCGTCGGTCTCCGTGAGAATTCCGAAAATGCGCAGGTTCTTTGAACCTGGCCATCGAATCAGACGGATAAAAGTGAGGCATGAAAGTGCCTCTTTTTTCCCTTTTGTCGAACGAGAAATCGCGGTGACAGTTGAAATTTTGTACTCACATGTTTCTGTATCTCCATGTTGAGGCCATACGACATTTCGTAATACTGTAACAGAGAAATCCCCCGTGTGATTAACACGTTAGGCTTGGTGAGCTTTACGTAATTAACGAGTATCTGAGCATCTCTCTCTCCAATTCTCTTTCTCTCGTACAAATGGGAACAATTAATTCCGCACGGCGACTCCGTCGCGGATCAGTGCCTCGGCGAATTAACGATCGATTAACGCGCGCGCGTAATTCGACAGACATTCCTGATGAAATCGGAGAAATGCGTCCCGATTTCCGATCAACGTACGGCAGAGTCGCTGCTGTTGCACCGCGAATCGGCCATTCGCAGTCCACGGTTGGTTTACGCGGCGCGGTGCGCCGCGGATTTCGACGCAAACGCGTTATTAATTATCGCTAATCGCGATAACGCACTCGTGTCCGGCCGAGTGTACTTGAGAGACCGCAGTTACAGGAAGAGGAGAGGAGAGAAGAGAAGGGGAGGAGAGGGCGCCGCGCGCGTCCCGCGTGAGAAATACGAGATGAGGAGGTGAACGCACGCGTGTAACGCGCTCTCCAGCCGGGTTACAGGTTCTTAATTTTACGGGCCATTAGCCCGGTAATTACACGGGCGAATTAATTGCGCCGTAAGTAAGTTATTTCACCCGGGAGATAGACACAGGCGAGGAAGAAGGGGAAGAGAAGGGGTGGATGGTGGAAACGAGTACCGGGGTTGGAGTGCAACGTTAGGCGGAGGTTGTTGAGATCGGCTGCAACGGCAACAGTACTCGCCGAGCGACTCTTTCCCCGGGGGCAATAGCGTTCGTTACGGCGATGCAACGTCCTTAACGCGCGTTAACGAGGCCGACGTGGCCGCCAGAAAGAGATAGGGAGGGAGAAAGACCACAGAGAGAGAGAGAGAGAGAGAGAGAGAGGGGGGGGGGAAATAAAAGAAGCGTTCGTATCAAATGGACTAAGCGGAGATTAATTGCGTTTAAACTGGTGGCCCGCGCGCCTCCGCGCCGATTAGGTCGACGAGAACGCGGGAGATGCCGCGCGGCGGCCGCCGGTAAATTAAAACGGTAACGATAAATTGATGCTACGGGCGTAAAACTCCGACATGGCGTTTTCGATTTAATTATCGCCGCTCGGTCGACGGTCGAATAAAGAGGTAAATAAAAGGCTAACAGAGCGAATAGAGCGCGTCCGGCCGGGAGAAACGGCGGCGAACTCGCTCGCGCGCGCGCGATTTAAAAATTGCCGATTTGCAGACGCGGCCGAGCGAAATTTCCGCGTTAGTTTCGCCACGATTTAGCATCGTCGTCTCGATGAAAATTTCACCGCGTAAAAAAAGATCGCTGCCATTCGCAGAGTCCGGAAAAGAATACGCGCTTGTTCTGCTCCGTTCTGTCGCTCTTTCCATCTTTCTATCTCGTACGCGCGCGCAGCGGAGTCTCGGAAGTTCATAAATAACTCCTCCCGTCGCGGTGTGCCCATTCTTCTTTTCTCTTTTTCCGTTTGTCGCGCCGGAGAGCCACCGCTGATACTGATCGCGGATGCGAGAAGGGACGAGATGCGGAGATCCTCGAATATTAACGAGCCGTAGACCGGCGCCGCCGCCGCGACCTAACAGCGTATTACTTCGTCATTAAGCGTCCGAGACAGCCCGACGTACGCGCGCGCGTGTAGACTAATTCGATGAGAGCCACTGGCTCTTAGAGTCATTAGCTATGCACAGTAGGTGTGCACAAACATATATATATATATATATATATATATATATATATATATATATGCGCGCGCGGGCAAACACACACACATTTATATACCTGTATAAGCGACTACGCTACGTGGCGTAACGAGCCAATGTAAAGCCCGGCCTCGGCGAGGATGCAATTAATGCTAAGAAGCCGAGGTGGTTTAGCGGTCGAGCGAACATGATTATTCTGGATATGGGAGGGAGAAAGAGAGAGAGGGAGAGAGAGAGGAAGGCAAGAGGGAAAGGAATAATGAGGAGAAAGAGAGAGAGAGAGAGAGAGAGAGAGTACACGAGAGGCAGCCGAGGGAAACGTTACGACGCCTAACCGGCACCTCTAACTTTACGACGCAGCGATTGCACTCACCATCACGTAGTGTCGCTGAATCTCCATCTTCTCCGAAGCCAGTTTATCGCACTCCATCTTCAACCTGCGGAAAGGAGAAAGAGAAACGTGAAACGCATGCGAGAACATCGAGTCTTGCTGAGTCGAACACGGCCGGGTAACTCGCGAAGCGAGCAATGGAGGAGAGAAGGAGCGGAGGGAGAACGCGAACCGCGAAAACGCGTACATCGCGAATAGAATATCCCTCCCTCGTACGTGTGGCGGACAGAGGAGAGAAATAAAAAAGGAGGGAGAAAATAGGAGGAAGAAAAAAAAACGGCAGCGGAAGAGACCGTCCGTTCGAGCGATGAGGGAAGTTTCGATCCGAGCGCTGCTGAAAAATGCAACGCCCGTTCGCCCCGTTCGTCGTCCTCGGGTGGAAACTCCAAGTTCGACTCCGCGTACTTCGCGGCCTGCCATTACGTATCCGTCGCGCGAACACTACGACGGTGGGATAGCGTGCGCTAACTCGGAAGAGCTAGAGCGCGCGCGCGTGGCAGCTGCGTTCGTTCCCAGACTTTTTCTCCGACGACCCTCTCGTCCTCCCTCCCTTCCTCTTCCCCTGCTTCTGTCGATATCGCTCGCTACATCCTTACGCGCACTTCCGCATCGAACAGGAAACATCGAGAAAGAATAAAGACAAAGGGGAAAAAATATAGTGGAAAATGGAGAAGAAAAAAGAGCTGCTCGCGCGGAGTGCTCGCGGAATTCCCTCCCCCCCCCCTCAATGCCACCCCCCGCGAAGCGGAATGTATGCCGTGTCAAGGTTTCATGCTACTCACGTGTTGTTTTGCTGCTGCAGATAATCGAACTCTTGCTTGATCCTGTCGCAAGACTCGAGGACCGTGAACTTGATCGGCTGGCCGGGCTGCGGCGGGACCTGCGGCAGGAAAGGAAAATATTTTGCGTCAGTCACACATCGATCCGCGTCCTAGAAACGCCACGATCGATTCGCGGCAGGCAGAGACAGGCCGGCCGGCCGGCCGGCCGGCCAACCAGCCAGCCAGCCGTCTGGCTTGTGAGAGATCCACTCCCGCCTGTGTCGAATAATTAACTCCGTACAGCTGTTCGACCACGAAAGGGCAGAGGGGCGCTGTGCGAGCGAAAGTGATAGGACGAGGAGGAGGTCCGTAGATTGGAGCGCACGAGCGCGAGGGTGGATGGATGGATGTACACATACGCGCGCATATATGCACGAGCCTCACACATACATGCGCGCACACGTACGGACGCGTGTGCATACGCGATTACACGAGGCGGGCCGTGTACGGTCGGCAATAGTCGGCGCGATCTCGGCCCGAGAGAGCTGCGACGACGGCGGCTCTCTCGCGCGCGCCCGCGCAGAGAGAGAGCAAGTGTTAATTACATGTTTGCGGTGTCCGCGAGGATTACACGCTACAACCGAAACTACGAGCCTGCGCTCTGCCGTGTGTGGACGCGCGCGCGCGCGCACGCTCCCCCTGCGCTCGTGTGTGCACGTGCAGCAAGTGTGGCTGCGTATGTCTCTTCTGTGCTTCTGTGCGTATCTACGCATAAATACAATATACGTGTCCATATGTCGTTAACACCCTTCGTGCACACGAGAACACTTCGCGTGCTTCGGCGAAACCGCGCAACCCCGTCGTCACCTTGCAGCGGGCGACGACGTGACACACTTGGCCGAGACGTCAACTACCCGGAATTGAAAGTACGCGATCCGTCGACGCGCGGTGTACAACGCGCGCCTCCCAACTCGCCAAGGAGGACGCAGCACAGTCTCGGAAGCATCGCGACGAAAGATCGCGGGCTGCCTCGAGGAACGCTGCTCGCGTCGGAATCGAGATCGCCTGGAGCTCTGCGAGCTGAACGATGCGCGCGTATCAATGCTTCACCTTCTCCCTGCGGGTAGTAGTATGCGCGCACGCGGTCGGAGTTTACGAGCACTCTCTAAGTTCTCGAAAGCGAGAGAGAAGACGCGGGAGACAATGTAGAAGCGAGCGTGAGAAGAAAAGGAGACTTACTGTACCTTATGGTAGGAATGTAAGACAGACGGTGGAAACAGGTAGTCAGACAGAAGTCCCAGCAAGAGAGAGGAGAGAGAGAGAGAGAGTGTGTGTGTGAGAGAGAGAGAGGAAAAGAGAGATCTCACGGAACGGCGAGAGAGAGAGGGACACAGGGAGGAGGACGATGGCCAAAGGTGGCGGCCACGACGAGGGAAGTTGCGGTTCTCGTGGTCGCCGTGGTTGCGGCTTAGGCAAATTGAGATAGTTCGCTAACCACCGACCAGCTGACCCGACCGTCACGCCAGGATGCTGCTCTGTCGGATGGCACATGCCGTACGGCGCACGCCGCCGCTCTCCCTCTCCTTCCTCCCTTTCTCTCTTTCCCTCCTCTCTCTCTCTCTCTCTCTCTCTCTCTCTCTCTCTCAGTGCTCTGCGCTGTCTTCCTTTCTCTCGCGGATCTCGGCAGGATCTCGCGTGGATCTCTGGAGAAGCGGTCGGGCCCTCGCTCGATCACTCGCTCGCGCATAAATCATCTCCGCCCCCGAGACGTGAATTAAACCGTTAGCACGCGGCGGCGGCAGCAACACACGGGACTCTGTGTACTGGCCGGTGCCGATGCCGACGATACCGCCGCGCGATCGAGCACCACTGCCGGCGGGACCAGGCAAACAGCACTGTATCGTGTTTGTGTGCTTAGCCCGGCAAATGTTAGCCAGCATATCGCTTATGGTGCTTGTCGAGCGAGGGTGATGGTCGATAGTTTCCGCAGCGGCGGGAAGGGTAAAGAGGCCCCGACTCGCTCGCGTTCACTCGCTAACGTATAGAGGTACTCGACATCGCCGTGGTCCGTGTCAGCTATAGCAAGCGTCGATCACGACGTGGACGAGCGAACGAGCACGAACGAACGAACGAACGAACGAACGAACGAACGAACAAACGAACGAACGAACGAACGAACGACGACGACGACGACGACGACGACGCATACGTCGGAGAGGCGGTGTTTGTGCGTCCGTCCATATAGGGCTGTTTGTCCTTGCTCTCGCTGTTTGAAGAACGTCAGGATCCCGGTCTGTGCAAACTCCTCATTATTGTGAACAGTGTACATGGTCTGTAAGCGCGCGCGTGCGTGTTCGTCCGGCCGCCGCCGAAGTTACACGTGTCAAGTCGCGCGTCACGTGTGTCTACACACGATCTCGCAATTTTTTTCGCCTGCCCACCGACGTGCGTGTCGGCGCCGCGACAAAAACGCGGGGAAAAAGTCGCGGAGGCGCGACATCGTGGAGAAAGGGAGAGTCGGGGGCGATCGGGGCGGCGGGTTTTTCTTACAAGTTTACGTTCTCGCTATTAAATTGACTGTCATTACTCGACAATGCGAGTATGCCTCTCTCTCTCTTTTCTCTTTCAATCGTACATCGTTCGCATTATGAGATTTCCATCGCATTATATGTAGCCGGGAGTCGAAACACGCGTTTATACTGAGATAACACATCGACGATCGAGCACGAGAGATCCGTTACGACTAAATTAACGGTCGCAATTAACGTCAGTTCATCATTGCGTCACACCTCATAACGCAACGTGCGTCCAAACACTTCTTATTTACCGTGTCGTTGTCACTCGCGTAATCATCATTATGAATCGCTAAACAGCTCGGTGTCAATATTTCACGGGAACGTTATAAAACACGCCACAAATTTCTACAGGAGCGACGAGAGAGTGGAGGGAAAAGAGGGAGAATTTGAGTCAAGCAGCGCGAGCGTTCCTTATCCGAAACTACCAGAGCTCTCTCTCTCTCTCTCTCTCTCTCTCTCTCTCTCTCTCTCTCTCTCTCTCTCTCTCTCTCTCTC